GTTTCTATGTTCAACTAAACAGAAAGTGTAGTATTGCAACTTGGTTCTTGTTTTTTAAATGAGCTATTGTGTGTACTTGTTTAGCTACACGTAAATTGATACATGGATTAGGACTTAATGTTTTAAAAGTGTGTGTGTGTGTGTGTGTGTGTGTACATGATTATTAGTTTTATTTTGGCTAGTAAAAGGTATCTCATCTGATACCGTACATCATCTAACAAGCATTCATTGTTTCCCTTAGCTACCAAACTGGGCCCAGAGACCTTCCGATTTATAGAAGGTGTCGAGGCTAAATCTGTGAAACAAAATGAGAAGTATTACATTCAAAGACCAGAGACTGTTGAAACTTACTTTTACCTTTGGAGGTTTACACATGATCCTAAGTACCGTGATTGGGGTTGGGAAGTTGTTGAGGTTAGCAGATAAGTAAAGATTTTTTCTTTATATTAGAATGATTTGCCAAGAAAGTGTGAACTTTGGACCTGAGGATACTAAACTTACAAATAAAGTTAGGAAAGACATTTTATTTTATGGTATTAAAACCAGTTTTTTTTTTTAAATATTAAGTATGTGTTTACTGTGGGAACTAGCTTAATTACCCATGGTGGAAAATGTTATATCTGTGCCTTGTATTAAAAAGATTAAAATTGTAATCACCTATCATGTGTAAAAACCACCATGTTGATTGCTATTACATCCAACTCAAGTAGATGTTTAAGTTTCTGAGTATATAACATTCGTTTAGGTGATAAATTTTATTCTCTGGAACTTACGTTTCAACTTTATCTCCCAGGCTATTGAAAAGCACTGCCGGGTGGAAGGTGGTTACACAGGCCTGAAGAATGTTTATCTTCTGGATGGACCAAAGGATGATGTTCAGCAGAGTTACTTCCTTGCTGAGACTCTAAAATATCTTTATTTGCTGTTCTCAGATGACATTCTTCTACCACTGGATGAGTGGGTGTTTAATACAGAAGCACACCCTTTTCCAGTTAAGCACACATAAATGTCTTTTTTTCTTGTAATAGCATCATTCTCCATGGTTCTTCAACATTGCATCTATTCTTAACTAGAACCTCTGACATAACATTCTGATTATTAATAAAGAACTATTATTCTTACAGTAGTACTGACCACTGTGTGGACAATTGTATGTTCTATTCCTCTTTGTTAGAGATCTAATTTGTACATTATATTTTAAGGCAGATGCATCAGAAATTGGTGTGTTGATTGTGAGTTTTTTGGATAATGTTTCGCATATCAGCACTTTACTGTGTTATTTTTCTCTTTGTTGGTATCAGATTTTTTGTCTTTATGGAAGTGTTGTTATAAAATTGTTAAAATTCTGTATATGTTTGGAGTCAGAACTGATCAAGGACAGTCTAAATTTAAGCCAAATGAATACCCATTGTACAGAAATATGAATTATTAAGATCATGGTGCAATTTTTGTATATTTTGTATACCCCTATTTTAACCCCCAAAATTTCATGAAAGAGTTTATATTGTGCCTCATTTTGTTTTAAAAGAGATCATTTTAAGAAGGGAGGTACATGACAGTGAAACTATATATGCTTAAACACCATTCCATATTTGATATAAATCTTGTAAAAGGAAAAAATTTTTTTCATTGTCTTGAGAAAAGAAATGAGTAATAGTTTTTACCACAGTATTATGTGTCTTGTTGTCATTGGCATGAAATTACTTAGGTTTTGGATATATGGATTGTTACTATTATATTCACTCAAAGTATTTATTAAAAACATTTTTATTAGTTAAATGTAGTTGTTCAAAGCTAACAAAAGATTCAAAGCTGTATGTTTTTGATGAAAATAATTTGCCAATACAATAGTAACTATTCATTTAAGTGCTGCTTAAAAGCTCTGGGAGTTTGCCAAATTACTGATATAAAATGTGTATTTTAATTTTTGTTGACACTTGTTTAAAGTACACAAAACATATTACTCTACAGCTTCTGTATGATTCTTTTATAAGATCTTGTTTAAATACTGTCCAGAAATTCATCATCTCTGTAAAAAATTATCAATCCAGTTTTACATTTGACTATGGATAAAATAGGAAGTACTCAAATACCAATTTTAAACTTTAATGCTCTAAATGATCATTGAGTTTGTTTTAGACCTGGTATGGCTAGTTGGAATACCTTATGTAGTTAGTCTGATTCTTAGGTTAAAGTCTTTGCTATTTTTGATGTGATTAATTATGTATTTGCTTAACTAGTCAGTGCATACCTTTTTTTTTTTATCTTGTGTGTGTTCATATTACTGAACGATTGCAGTGGTAAGCTGTTTTAAATCATTTTGAAGATCCTTGCTACAAGAATGAGGAGCTATGGTAATTATGGACAATCACTTAAATACCATATTTCTGATAAGATATATTTGTTTCTTTAGCTATTTTAGGATGTTAAAACTAATCATCAGCTTATGTAAGTGTGATTTGTTTGTGCTAATCATCTTGTAGTTTTCTTTGTTAATATTTAAACATATTTTTATATTCAAAGTACTTAAACATTTAAGCTGTAACAAAACATTTGCAGACATACAATAATTTAAATATAAAAAGTTGCATGGAGCTAAAAAGGCAGTAACTTGATTTTAGCTTTTAGGGCTTTACTTCAAGTTTGCATAAGAGAGATCATCCTGTGTTTTTATTTGGAAAACAATCAAAAGCTGTGTAAAGCAATTTTCAAAATGTTTGGAAATTGTTTAAAATCATCTAACAATTTCTTCAGTTTTCCCATTTAAATATTAATTCGTATGACTACATGAATAACTACTCGTTGAAACAACAACTGTATATTCACTGCGTGTGTGTGTGTTTGTGTGTTACAATATTTTCTTTGTTATTTATATTTGTTCCTTCTGGTAAAGATATAAATAGCAAATATGAAGCATGAACTAAAGAAAATCAATTAAAGTTTGAATGAGCTTTTTTAAAGTGATATTTTCCAGTTGTGTCTACATAGTAGCAGATTTCCTTCTATTGGGAGACTCCAGTTATACAACTTATATTCTCCTTTTGTTACCAATTTACTACTATACTGTTACAGCTGTGTCTTTTCTTTTGGTTATGATTATTTATATCTTAGCTTCTTTTGCTTGTAATGGGCTACAGGTATACTACTAAATACATAAGTTACTCCTTTTTTGTTGAAAGACTACAACTAGTCTACTCTTTTTCTTGTTGGTTACAACTAAATTGCTTACAGTTCTTCTTGTGACATTATAGTTTTACCATTTACACTTTCCCTTCTGTCAGGATATAACTAAATAACCTACCAGGCTACAGCTATATCAGTGTGACACCTTTTTTTATAACTTATTCTGTCTCTTATGTGTATGTATGCACTATTCTAAGGTCTGCTTACATAAGCATTTCTAATTATATTAATGATGCTAAATTATTCACTAACTTAAGTTTTACAATACAGAGTACATCTATCAGACTCAATATTTTGTTAGATTAAAGGCATTCTCTGTTTTACTTAAATTGAGCATTTTTTTTTAGCATTCATTATAATTGGCAACTTTTGATATCTAGATCAAGGGTCTCTGAGCTACATCGTGTGCACAATATGTGTCATTAGCATGCATGTTTCCATATCTGCATAATAGGAGTAACACTTATACTGATGATATTGAAAAAGTAGTTATGTTTTTGTATTGTTTGATCTTCCAAGTGAACAGAGTTAGCTTATATGGACCCTGGAGCTAAAAAGTTTTATTGAACACCATCTTGAGGCCCAAAGAAAACTGAGTAGTTTCTGAATCTGTGAGGCTAATGCTCGTGAATAAATGTTCCAGACTACTTATAACATTATGAAATAATTTAAGTTCTACTAGTGATAAAGTTATATTAAATAAATTTATACATGTTACTCACTTTCTTTTTTATATTAAATATTGTGTGTAAATATATTGGATAATATTTAACTACAGTAAATAAATGTTTTAGTACTGTGAAAGTTCAGTGATGAATTTTTTTATGTATGATTTATTTGAATAATCTGAGTAATAATTAGTAACTGCTATCAATCTTGCACTAGGACAGTAAAAAGACAGAGAAACGTCATTAGTAACTACCAATGTTCTTCCAATAGGATAGTAGAAGACAGAGAAATATCATTAGTAATTGCTGTCAGTCTTCCAATAGGATAGTAGAACACAGAGAAATTGTTAATTTTATGTAATAAACATTTTTACATGAATTAAATTTATAAATAATATTAACTTAAACATTTTTGGAGATTACAACATTTTCCTAAAAACTTAATATTTTAAATTTTCATTTTGAAACTATACAAGTTAGAATCTTTTTTGAGCAGTTGCTAAATCATCAGAAATTGATCCCAGTCTGCACTTGACTTTAAACTCTTTATAATTAAATTTAAACTGTATGTGCATATCAAATAAAATAATGCAAATTTTTGTAGAAATTGTAATGGGTTCAAGTAACGTGAAATGACACTCAGTTCTTAGCTTCTGCAAATATTTGCAACAGTGAAATTTGAAAATAATGAGAATTCTAAATGATGTCAATAAAAACTCAACTGTATATAAACATACATAAATTTCTTCTATGCATTATAAAAACTTGAAGGTACTCTTAGTTAAACCGAACCATACAAGATTCTAATTATGACAAAATGCTTTTCCATGCACACAAATTTCACCTGAAGTTTATCCACTTGTTTTTTAAGAAAAATTGTATAAACAAAATAAAATTATGAATTATGGACAATTGCTGACAAGGCCTTACCAGAACTAATTATGTGTAGATTAAAAAAAACATTTTTCTGTAAAATATTAATCAATAGGTTACTCAAAATCCATTTTTGATTAAACACAAGTTTTGAACTGTAGTTGAAATAATTTATTTATAAACAAAAATTGAAAGTTTTTTTATTATACTACTTCTTAAACTTGGAAAGTGCTAATCATATGAAATTGAATTACAAAACACATTTCCAATACATACTTACCATTTCTCACACAAAGCTATCTCGATCTTCTTTCTGCACTCTAACTTAAGTATTGATTAAAAAAAGAATGTGCTTCTCTTGTTTCATTTGGCCATGTGACCCGGGAGGATCAGGTACACCTAGACCTTTACCCCTCCCTTTGACTATTGATTTGTTTGTTGGGTGTTGGATAAAGCCCACATTAATTCTTTAGTAGAATACAGGCCAGTAGCTAGGAAAACTTGTTCTTACACCCTGCAGTCATTGCATGAGTCATTTGCACATGTCAGGCCATGTTCATGAATATATAACAAATTTTTCTAATACAAACCTATACTTTTTTTGTTTTTGTTTTAAGTCAACATATAGTTTTGTTCACATAAACAGTTTCATAAATATCAATTGAAAACATATAGCACTAATCCTATTTACAGATAAATAAACCCTTTAGAAATAAAATTTACACTATATCTAGCTACTGGTTTGTCCAATAGTAGGTGGCCATAGATTACATAAGGAGTTTACTAGATTTGGTGGTGAGAGGTACTTAGGTCTATTACCATCATGTGTGATAAAGTTTTATCAGCGTTCGTAATGATTCGTTTGTGTTAAAATTTTTGCAAAAGTAATCTATTGATCTATTTTGAAGTCTGTCTGACAACATGGGGATGTTTGTATAACTGTATAAGAATGCTGTGTTTGCATATGTAGGAGCTCTATGCTTTGGTATTTATTGAATTTTGTATTATTTGTAACTTGTTTACATGGGATTTGGTTACATTTAACCATGCTGGGCAGGCATACTCTGCCACTGGGTTTTATATATTTTGAGTATGTTTTTGGTTGTAGCACCCCTGTTGTTGCCAGCCAGACGTCGTACATAATTCGTTCTTTGCCAGATTTTGTTTCTAATTTTATTTATATGCTTAGTCCAATTTAGTTTAGAATTGTAGGTTAGAGCCAGGAATTTGGTTGATGTGGCTATCTGGAGAAGTGTTCCCTAAAGGTACAATTTTGGGTGTTGTTTGCTCTTTCTTTTTTGATTTTGTGAATAATAGGATTTTTGTTTTAGGGGTATTTATCTTGATTCTCCATTTGTTACAGTAATTTACTATTTCATTTAACCCTGGTTGTAGATTTGTCGCTGCTATAGTTGGAGTGTAGGAGCTCTTCCAGATAGCCACATCATTCTCAAACTTGAAGCAGGAATTTGGATCAGCCAGTGGCATTTTACTTGCATACATGATGAATAGAATAGGGCTAGCTACCCCTCCTTGCAGGACACCTGCCTCCGGGGCAAAATACTCCGAGAAGGTGCTTGACACATTAATTCTAGCTTTCCTGTTCTCTAAAAAGTTGGAAAACCAATGAATAATACCTCGCAAAATTTTCATTTGTGACAATAGATATTTTTAGTCCATAGTGCCATATAGTGTCAGATGCTTTCTCAACATCGAGAAACCTAGCGACAGTGCATTCATTTCAGTTAAAACTGTCTACTATTGTTTCTGTAAATCGTACTAGATCTTCTGTTTTTTTCTGTCTCTAAATCCGTTATATATTTCTGGTTATTTGATGTCTGTTTGATATCTGTCAAAAAGTCTTGAACTATTCATTTTCTCTAGTAGTTTTCCTGTACACCTAGTTTGAGTGGTCTATAGCTGTCTGGTTTACATGCACTCTGTATATATCCAGCTTTTAGGGAAAAATTAAATATAGCAGATAAAGGTTTGTACAAACTTGATGTGCTTGTTTTGTTAAGTATATACAGTATTTTGTCATGTCCAAGAGTCTTGTTTTTGTCATTTTGAGAGTATCTTGTATTTCTGGTACTGTTATTGGTCTTATGAGTTGTTGAGTTTTCTTGATTGCTGCAACTTGCTGTTTTGGACCTCTAGGGGAACCGACTGGGAAGATAGGTGAGTATAGTATTTTGTTTGTGTTAGCAATGGTGTTACTGTATTAGTGTGGGATATATGTGTTTGTTTGCGTTTTTTCCAGTAAATCTTTTTAAGTGAGAGCACAAGTTTTTGGGGTCTCTCTATGTGTGTGTGTTTAGTCCCAGTTAACTGTTTTTAGCCTTTTTATTTCATTTCTGTTAGTGTTTCTGAGTATTTTAGTCTGGTTTTTAGGTCATATATATTTTTCGGAGTTTTATGCGTTCTTTTATTGTATTTAGAAGTTGTTCTTGGGATTTCCATATTTAGATGTGTGGTTTTGTTGTTGTTGTTGGGATGGATATTTCTGCTGATTTTATAAAGCACTCCGTGATTGTATTACAGTAATAATCGATCATAGTATGGTTCACAGCACTATTTGTAGTTTCTTTTGGGCAGATTATTAGTTAATATTTTTTGTTATTTTGTCCAGTTTGCTTTATTATAATTAACTTTTGGGGTATATAATTGTTGATTATAATTTCAAATTTGGTTCAAAACCTACGAAATCTTCATTGCTTTCACTGTAATTAATTTTTTTATTATTTAGGGAACATTATAAATAGTTATGTTTTTTTTTAAAAAAACAAAAACTACTATTGTTATAAATAACACGTTCAATTGAACTAAACTATACA